GTCAATCCTGGCTTGGCCACCGTTTGCGCCGGCTCACCGCGTTTCGACCACGACCGTTTTCGCTTGACGTTGTCGTAAGTGACCCACTTTTCATCACCAGTCACCATCCGCTGCAGAAATGGGTCGATTTTGTTGCGATTCAGCAGCGATTCGCAGATGGAAATTCGGTCCATGAGGTTTTTTTGCGTTAACTCGTGTGGCACCCATACATCGAGCTTCTTTTTGTATCCAGCCTTATTCAAGTGGTTCCAAACGGTTTTTTGTGCAATGTTTAGCTCCTGGGCAATCGAAACAGTGCTTACATGACGGTCAGACTCGACGATTTTCATTATTTTATCGAGATTTTCGACAATTGGCCTTCCAGAGCGTGATGCTTTGACATCAAAATTACCGGAACGGAATTGACAAAACCAAAATTGCGCGTGATTGGCTGTTACAATATCAAGACCATAAACACTATTCACATTTTCAGCCGCCTGGCTTGCGTTTTCGCCTTTATCGAAGAAAAACTGTAAAATATGGCGTATTTTCTCTTTGCTGATGTCCATTTTTGACGCGCGCTCAAACAATACTGAATCAAACAATCACAAAACTGTCTGAGAAGTTTTTTTAGTACGAAATCTTATCTTTCTAACGCCATCTAGTGTAAACCGATCGCACTTATATAACGCGAGATACACATTACTAAAGCCATCTATTGGAAAAATAATGGATTTCTTTTTACTACACCTTATATTTGCATAAAAATTCCTCAAGATTTTCCCAGAAGGGGCACAGTTTCTAATCAGAATGTCCAAATTTTTTGTCCTACAATAGGTTATGCTATTGTGTTGGCATCCAATTCCTGGGAATCTTTATCTCAAACTTAAGTATATTCTTGCGAGAATTCGTGCTTTTTTTAACAATTAAAATCGGTATATTAGGACCTTAACTTAGTTTCCGCCCAAAAAATACTGAGAAAAAGCATTTATTGTAAAAAATTTATTTAAATTATTTCAATGAAAGTATTTTCCATCACTTTCTACAACTTTTTGCCATCTTTCTGGCAACTGGGCGATACCATCTCGATAAAACGATGTTTGTTTCGAAGCAATCCATTCGTCCACCCATTCTCGC